AAACAAAGAAAAGAGGAGATAAATAATAAACACAGCAGTTAAATAGATGAGGGAAAGAATTGCCTAAAAGAAATATATGATTAGGTATGATTTACATGACAATAGTCCAGAATAAGAAGCTCATAGCAAAGTAGACAAGGGGGTAGGAGGTGAGGAAATTGTGCAACACTGAAAGAATCTTTTTAAAGAGAAAAGTGAACTGGGGTGGGGGGGAGAAGAGGAGGGAGGAAAATGTGCAACAATGAATGAATGGAAATCCAAGTTTTCTGTAAATGTGTGTTAAAATTTCAATAAAAAACAATTAAAATTAAGAAAATTAATAAACTGAGCTAGAAAAAAACAACACACCACTTTACAAGAACCTATTACCAGGTCTTTTCTCCTATGAAACTATTGGTGGGTTTGAATTGCCAGCTTTTCAAATTTAAAGCTAAGCGCTTAGCCACCACTAGTAACCTAATTCTCAACACTCAGTCTCCTAAGTGTCTCTGATACCACACAATTCAAGCCTACCACTTGCTTAGAGTCTTGTTATGGTTCTAGAATGCCCCTTCTGTTTGGTCCATGACTTACTGAAGGTGACATAAAAAAGTATTTTCTAAAGAAAAACTGAAACTTACAAACTTTCAATGTACCAACCAACACAACACAGAATAGGGAAACATTTTCAACATTCTAATAGTACTTGTACACAAATCTACAAAATATTCAGTCCAGGCATGCATTTGACAAATTAACTTTTATTCACAGCTTTATAATGCCATGATAAAAATGTATCCACACCATAATCTTTTATGTCCTAAATTTACATCAATTACTGTCTTTTTCTAAATTTCCTTGACCTTGAGTCTAAAATTGATACAATAAAATATAACAAAAGGAAAAAGGTCTTTTCCAAGGAATTCTCCTTTCATACTAATTCATAAATCATTCAAAATCATCTACAATTGGGCAAGGGGGAAGAGATCTGTCTCCTTCAGTTAAGACTTTACATCAAAAAAAGGGTTTTACCTCAAATCTAGTCCTCAAATGTTCTTGGAGCATTTTAATAATGAAGAAAAGTGTGTTTGCTCATTTCTGTCCATTTTTTAAAAAGACATTAATATTAATGACTGAGAAAGTCAGACTTTTTATATTTACCACATTAAGAATCTCCCAAGTTTAATTCCTCAGAGCTTAAACTGTCAGAGAAACCACAGATGGAGGAAGTCACGACTTAAATTACACAAAAGGGGGAAACAATAATTAATAAAAATACAAAACTCAAAAAAGCTTGCTTTATTTACACCTAGACAGATAAAGGATACAAGTAATACCATTGCACAGAATTTAAGAGCTAACAGAGCCTTAGAAATCCTCTCATTGTGTTAGCTGAAATTGAATTCCAAAGATTTGGCTGAAGAAGAGAAATAATGACTTCACATTATTCAAGCTCTAGAGGATACTTATGTTGTTACTTAAGTTATAAGTTATGTTATACTTAAGATATAAGTTTTGTTAAACTTAAGTTACACACAAGTTATACTTAAGTTTTAATCAAGCATGTCTATGTCTATTTTTTATTGCCATTTTAACACACATTTACAGAAAACTTGGATTTCCATTCATTAATTGTTGTACATTTTCCTCCCTCTCCCTCTCCCCCAGCTCACTTTTCTCTTTATAATCAAGCATAATAGAGCAAAACACAAAATGAAAAATAAAACCAAAAGCTTAGCATACAAGGAAACCATCTTGCCTATTCCTCTCTAGCTTTTTCACCTAGAAACTGATAAAATCTAATTTAGTGGCAACCCCTTTTCACCCTTTCTAATATAATTTCTAATTATTATTCTACATGGTTCTTATGGCTCTTTAATTTGTGTCTCCTCAATTAGCTACATTGTTCAAGTCATCAATTATGCTACCAGGTCTGTAAGAGCACAGACTATGTCATCACCTTTTGTATAATTAGAAAGTATATCTAGTTTGTTACAGTATACATTCAGAGTCCTCCTCAATGTTTACTGAATTCAAAGTCCTAATTGACGTTTACTGCATTGTTACATACAATAATCATGCAGTTGTTATGAGTTAGAGTGGACTTGACAGCTGACAATGACAAATATAACAAATACATTACCTATATCAGGTAAATAAGAATATAATGCTTTCAACTTAGAAACAAAAACCATAAAGTGTATCACTGATAATTTCTTTTCTAGTTAAAATAAGAGACCTTAAGCAAACTGATAATAATAGGCAAGAACACTAGAAAGTGTAGGCAATATAACTTCTTATCCACTAAACATTTACCTTTATTTTCCTTTTTGTATTTTAGTCTATTATGCTCTATCAGTCACAGTTTGCTTGATTATTTTATCTCTAACTGAAGCTAAAAGCAAAAAGCCCTCTAGATGTTTTCAGCTAGCTTCATGAATTATTTCTCTTTGTTACTCAACTTTTAGCCTCAAATATATAATTAAAATGAGGAAAGGCATGTGTCAGAGTTGTATCCTTTCTCCATATCTATTCAATCTGCAGCATCAACAAATTATTTGAAATCTAGGCCATATGAAAAAGAAGATGGCACAAGGATTGGAAAAGACACATCAACAACATACATTATGTAGGCGAAGCAACCTTGCTTGCTAAAAGTGAAGAGAATTTGAAACATTTGCAGAAGATCAAAAGACCACAGCCTTCAACACGGCTTGCATCTCAACATGAAGAACAAAAATCCTTGCCTAGACCAATGGGAAACACCATGATAGAGGGGAGAAAAGATTAAAGTTGTCAATGATGTCATTTTACTTGGCTCCACAATAAATACCCAGGAAAACAGCAATCAAGAAATTAAAAAAAAAAAAAAACCCAAAACAAAGTTGCATTAGGACAATCTGCTGTCAAGGATGTCTCCAAAGTGCTAAAGAGCAACAAGGTCAGTTTAAAGACCAAGGGATGCTTGATCCAAGTCATGGTATTTTCAGTTCCTTCGCATCTGAAGAATGCATAGGAATGTAGAACACTGAGGGTGCTCTAATGGCCTAGTGCTAAGAAGTTGTGCTGCATCCACCAGCTGCTCTATGGGAGAAAGATGAGCAATCCCCTCCAGTGTGATTAACTGCCTCTGAAAACCCACCAGAGGGTCAGCTATAGGTTGGTTATAACTCGAAGTACACATTAACAAACGCATTTGAAAACAAGGCATGAAGAAGGATAAGAGGATTGGATGTCGTTGAATCACAATGATGGAGAAAAATACTGAGCAACTCGTGGAATGACTAAAGAACAAACAAATCTGTCTTGGAAAAAGTACAACTTGGGTGCTCCTTAGAGATAATAATGATAAAACTTTATCTCAGATACCTTTGGCTGTTATGAATGGCCAGTGTTTGGGAAAAGACATCATGCTGGAAAAGGGAAGGATCAGAGAAAGAGAGGAAAGCCCTCAACAAGATGGACTTGATATAATCATAGAAGCAATGGGCTGAAGTATATCAGAGATGGTAAGAATGGCATGTAGAGGTGGAACTGATCCATAGCCTGACCTTCTGGTGGGTTTTCAGAGGCAGTTAATCACATGGGAGGAGACTGCCCATCCTTCTCCCAAGGAGCAGCTGGTGGTCTCCAACTGCTACCTTTGGGATTGCAGTGCAGCTTCTTGCCACTAGGCCACCAGAACTCCCTTTCACCTCCGTAAGATAAAATTATTAAATTGCATCAGAAACAAAAATCCTTTTGATATAGGGGAGGAAATAACAGAAAAATTTCTTACAGAACTTTACCAAATCCAGAGAAGTATCACTTTCTCTTACACATATTCTCTCACACAGACACACATAAACATAAACCAACAATAAATGACAATGTTTCTAATAATTTAAGTTTTTTACTTGCCTTTTAGATAAAACCAGGGGCATGCCCCTATAAATATCCCTGCTCTAACTATACCTGCATAGTTCTAGGTGATTCATTGATCTATGCTTACAAGATTTGGGCTTACAATAAAAGAAATTTGTTCAATCATTTTTACCATAAAATCAGTAAAACTGTATAGGAAAAGCACAAAAATCACAATTTAACTTTAAAAAGATTTAAACAAAGACAGATGACATATGTGACAGTCTCAATAAATGATGTTCTGTAGACGGGATCCGGTGGCTTAATGTAAAGAGTCAAGCCGCCAACCCAAGGGTACATGATTTTGACCCACCAGCTGCTCAGCAGAAGAAAGATGGGAAATCTCCTCCCATGCAATTTAATGTCTCTGAAAACTGTCTGGAGGGTCACCTATGGATCAGTTTCAACTTGACGGTGGTTGTTGTTGTTATGTGCCGACTCACAGCAACCCTATGTACAACAGCTCTGAGTCCTGCTCTATCCTGAGCCAACCTCATCGCCTCTGACACACCTTCCCCATTTCCCCAGTTACTGAGTCAATACAACAATAACACAGAGAGTTTATAGACTAACAAAGGGCCAAGAAAGAAAAGAAGCACCTCCCATTTTATTCTACCATCAGTGGTGTACCTGAATCTTTTCTTTCTACCACATATTTTAAGAGAATTGTTAATAATATTTCAAAGACCAAAATTCTCAAACATTTTAATTAAATGTAAAACTGAAAGACAAGGATAAAAAGTGACTTAAAAATTGCAAAATAAGTAAAAACATACCTGTGATATATCATCAAGTTGAGATTTTCCATGAAGCCTTGAGATGCTTTCTGCTCGCATAAGATATTCCGCTGTTCTTCTCTTCACAGCCTCGCGGCGGGTAGGACTTGATTCGCCTACAGGGTAAAAACATTTATTGTGTGGGGAATCAGTAAATGTCTTTTATTCAACTTGAAGACTGACATTCTTTACCCAATTCACTGCTTGCCCATAATTAACTCACAGCTTGCTCATATTTGCACTAGACATCAAAGCTGTCATCATGAAGGTATGTCAAACATAACAAGAGGCATCATGAAGTCTACATATTAGTCATGAATTTCATATCTCGAAATTCTGGCACTTTATTTAAATACACATTGAAATGTGATATATTTAATTTCTAAAACCAAACACATTTCCATCAAGCGGCTTTTGACTCCTAGCTACCCTCCACTGGGTTTCTCAAGCTTATTACCTTTACAAGAGGAAACAGTCCATCTTTCTGCCATATCCTTTTTTGCCAAACCCTTTGACTTTTCAATTAGCAGCCTGACACATTGTTCTACTCGCCACAATGGTCCTCGAGATTTTATACAAGGAGTCACGTATGAGAAATATGGTATCACAAGTTCTGACTAGAAGACAACAGGCTAGCCCTAGTTCATACTCTGGTGGAGCTTTGGTGGCCTGGTGGGATAAGGAGTAGTTCTGTCAGCCCAAAGGAAGGAAGTTTGTATCCACAAGCTGCTCTGCAAGACTAAGCAATCTACAGAGCAATTTACAACTTCTGGAAACCTACTGGAGAGTCAGCTATGTGTTGGTACAGATTCACCACAAATGAGAAAGAGAAGATTCATACAGGATGAGGCTGTGCTTATTAACCTTTCAAATCAACATGTAAGATAGAATCAACTGCAACAGATAAGTAAAAAGAACTGTGACATGGGTGTGCTATGTCATGGACTATGTAAAAATACCATAACATGGAATGCAACTATAGAAAAGAAAGAGTATTACTTAAGAACTATGAATTAATTCTAACAGATTTATGTAAGCTTTGGGAATTTTTTTTCCATGACTGAGATTCATGTACTATATAATTAGAAGAAAATGAACAAGGCATTAACCCTATCTGGTTCTTAGTTTCTCCATTTACTAAACAAAGTTGAATTCAAAGTGACTTCCAGAGAACTCCTCCAGGCCCTGGGAAAGACAAAATTAAGCCCATGCGGTAATAAGCCCTCCTCTCTCCAGAAAGGAATGATATTGACCTTTCAGCCTCTGGTTGCTTAGTGGTAAAGGAATAATGCTGCCAATTCAAAGGCATATGGTTCAAATTCACCAGCTGCTCTAAGGAAGATCAGCAATCTCCTCTTGTGTGATTTACTGCCTCTGGAAACCCACTTCAGTGTTAGCTATGGTTTGGTTCTTCTGGTTCTATAATACATACATAATAACAACAACAACATATATATATCATAAAATTTATTTGAAAAAGAGTTCCATGGCTAAAATCATATTTTCCAAACTACTCAACAGTTCTTCTAATTTAAACTTCATCATTTGCTAAACCAAAGAATCCTGAAATTTCAAAGAAAAATTGCAACAAAGTGGAGACTATAATATTGACTTTACTTTCACATTACTATTTTCAATCTCTTTGCCTTAACTCTAAAACGCAAAGTTGTTTGTTGTTGTTGTTGTTGTTGTTGTTGTTGTTGTTTGTTGTTTTTGTAGTTGTTATGTGCTGTCAAATCATCTGCAATTCACAGTGACTCTATGTACAACAGCTCTGAAGCTTGCCCTGTCCTGAGCAGGTCTCACTGACGCCAACACACCTTACCTTCATTACCCAAGTTACTATGTCAGTCTATCTCATCCGGGGTCTTTCTCTCCTGCATTGCCCTGCCCCCTTCTGAATATGATGTCCTTCCCCAAGAAACAGTTCTTCCTGGTTATGTGCCAAAAGTATGTAAGATGGAGCTTCAAAATCCTTGACTCTATGGAGCACCTTGGTTTCACCCTCTCCAAGACAGCTCTATTATTTTTCTTGGCAGTCGATGGTATGTCCAATATTCTTCTCCAGCACCACAATTCAAATGTATCATATCTTCTGTCATCTTTGGTCACTGACCAGCTCTCTGATGCACAGCCAGTAACTGTGAGGACCATGGCCTGGATCAGGCACATCCAAGTCTCTAGACTGACATCATTGTTTCTCCGTACTCTGTAGAGGTTCCCAGACTGTAGTTTTTCCCAGTACAATTTATCTTTTGATTTCCTGACTGCTGGTGCCAAGAGTGTTGACTGTAGATCTGACTAAGCTGAAATTATTAACAAACTTAAACTCTTCTCCATCACGGTGCTGCCAATTAGCCCAGTGGTGAAATACTTTGTTTCCTTGATGTTCAAGCTTCCATACTGAAGACTACAGTCCCTGACTTTCTGCAGCAAGCACCTCAGGTCCTCCTCAATTTAAACAACCAAAGTTGTATCATCTGCAAATCACATGTTGTTGATAAGTCTTCCTTCAATCCTGATTCCACATTCCTCCTCACAAAGCCCAGCCTTCTGAATGATCTGTTCTGCATATAGACTGAAAAAGTATGGAGAAACGATGCATCCCTGATGCACTCCTTTCCTGATTTTTAACCATGTAGGGTTTCCTTGCTGTGTTCTGAGGAGTGCTTCCTGATCCATGTACAGGTTTCGCATGAGCACAATGAAGTGTTCTGGGATTGCCATTTTCCTCAAGGTTGTGATCTACACAGTCAGATGAATTTGCATAGTCAAAGAAACACAGAGAGTCATTTCTCTGGTACTCTTTTTGTTTGGCCAAGATCCATCTAACTTTACCAATGGTATCTTTAGTGCCATGGCCTCTTCCCACAACCCCACCCCATTATTATTTTAGTTTATGTACAAAATTCAAATACATTGCTTTCCAGACCACTATGGCCTCTTCTAAATGCAGCGTTATTTCTGGTAATTCTATGTCAATGTACGGTTCCAGTCATTTTTGGATAATCTTTAGCAGGATTTTACTTGTGTGTGATATTAATGATAGTGTTCTATAATTTCAAAACTGTCAGGTCACCTATTTTTGGAATAGGAATAAATATGGATCTCAGGTGACCAGGTGGTTGTCTTTCAGATTTTTTGGCACAACCCAGTGAGCATGTCCAGGACAGCATCTGTTTGTTGAAATATGTCAATATATTCCTGGGGCTTTGTTCTTTGCCAATTTATTCAGAGCAGTCTGAATTTCCTCCTTCATCACCATTGCCTCTTGATCATATGTTGTTTCTTGAAATTCTTCTGTGTCAGTGAATTATTTTTGGTACAGTGACTCTGTATATGCCCTTAATAAATGTATAATCAACTAATATTTTTCAAATTTCAATTAAAATATCAGTATGCTTTTGCCTTTAAAATTTAAAACACTAATATTGGGATATTTTAATAAGAAGAAAAATTGGCATAATTTCTTGTGAATCATTTTTGCAAGTTTAACATTAACATAACACAAAAATAACAAGTATTTCTTATTTTTACACTCTACTAATCAAAGACCAGATGAGTTGTGGGAGGATATCAATAATATTATCCAAGAAGATTGCAAAAGACCATTATAAAGACAGAGGAGGAAGAAAAGACCAAGATGGATTTCAGAACAGATTCTGAATATTGAACTAGAGTGCCAAGAAGCCAAAGCAAAGGAAGAAATCAAGAAGTAAAGGAGCTGAACAGAAGACTTCAAAGAGCAGCACGGGGAAACAATGCAAAGTGTTATAATGAAACATGCAAAGAGCTGGAGTTGGAAAATCAAATGGCTGAACTCGCTCAGCATTTCTCAAGCTGAAGGAACTGAAGAACAAATTCAAACCTTGAGGATGCTTAAGGATGCTGTGTGTAGAATATTAAATGATTGAGGAAAAATTAAAAGAAGATGGAAGGATTATATAGAGTCATTGTACCAAAAAGAATTGGCTTACACAGAAGAATTTCATGAAACAACGTATGATCTGAGCCTGCTGCTCTAAAGGAACTGGCAAACAACAAGGCTCCAAGAATTGACGGCATACAGACTGACAAATTTCAACAAACAGGCATTGCCCTGGACACACTCACCAAGTTATGCCAAAAAATCCATAAGACAACTACCTAGCCAATTCCCAGGAAGAGATCCATATTTATTCTCATTCCCAGCATAGGTGACCCGACAGAGGGTGGAAATGATGGAACGATATCAATATAACATGCAAGAAAGATTCTGTCGAAAATTATCCAAAAATGACTAGAACAGCACATCAACAGAGAACTGCCAGATGTACAGATGGGGTTTAGAAAGGTCATGGTACTAGGAATATTTTAGCTAATGTTAGATGAAACTTGGCTGAAAGCAGAGAATGCCAGAGAAATGTCTATCTGTACTTCAATGACTATGCAAAGGCATTTGACTGTGTGGACCACAACAAACTATGGCTAACTCTGAGAAGAATGGTAACCCCAGAACAATTGCTCATGCTTATGTGTAACAGGACACAGTCATCAGAACATAGCAAGAACACTGCATAGTTCAAAAACAGGAAAGGTGTATACCAGTGATACAGCCTATCTCCATAACTTTTCAACCTATATGCAGAATAGACCATTGAGGAGACTGGGCACTATGAGGAGAAATGTGACATCAGGATTGGAGGAAGACTCATCAACAATCTGTATTATGCAAATGACACAAGCTTGTTTGCTGAAAGTGAGGACCTGAGGCATCTGCTGCAGGATGAGGTGCACTTTGGTCTTCAAACTGACATATCTGCTGTTCAGTACTTTGGAGGGGTTCCTGACAGCAGACTTGACAATGCAATATGAAAAAATCCTATAAGACAGACTAAAACTATTTCATCAAGTTTCCATAGCTATAATTTTACAGGTCCAGACTGTCACATCTTTCTTCCAGAGAGTAGATGGTGTGAGCTCCAATAGCTGATTTTTGGATTTCAACTAGGTGTTTAATCACAACATCATCAGGGCAAACTAGGTAGACAATAATTTCCAAAGTTGTTGTCATGTGCCATCGAGTCGCCTGTGACTCATAGCAATCATATGTACAACAACTCTGAAGCTTCCCCTG